CTAGAACCTAAGCTGTAAGTATTCACACCCTTCTCCGCGTCAGGCTCAGAGACGTGGCCGCTCTTTCCCTGGAAACGCGCAGAGCGCGCAGCCCGTGCGGCGGCCGGCGACCTGCGCTCCAGCCCGCGGCCGTTTTGAGGCGGCCTGAAGCCCGGCTCCTCCGAGCCTCACTCTCCGTCTCCTCTCCCGTTTCCCAGGGCCTGCAGGCGTCCAGGACTGAGCTTAAACTAGGTTAGGAACGACTAGTGTGCCACGAAATAAGTTGAGTGGGTTGAAACCACCGTTTAAAAGATAAAATAGAAGACAAAGTATCAGTGCGTCTCACATGATAAAGACTGTGGAAGTCCTGTTGTGTGCGTAGAGATACTTATCCTCAAACGTAGACATTTTTGATGCTGAAACGAGGTGCAGAATAATTGGGACAAAGATGTAATCTGAGGCCGTTTCTGGCCAAGCGGGACACACGGAAGGTAAGACGCGTTGCGGACGTTCCGCGGCCCCAGCCGGGCCCCGGCTTCCATTCCCGTGCCTCTAACCTCTCACACACAGCTCCACGAACTGCCTCCCTCAAGTGTAAGTCTTATCATGACGCACCCTTGTCTAAGACGCTGGAGGATGCCCTGTGGCCTGCGAAGAGCGCGTCCCGGCCCTCGAAGGCCCTTCGGGCCCAGCGTCGCCCTGCCCGGCGCACTGTCGGCGGCTTCGTCCCCCCGAACCGCACGCCTTACCCGGCTGCCCAGCCTGCACGGACCCTCTCTTAGAGCGGAGCCGTCCCGGGCCTTGCAGAGCGAGTTCAGGCGCCACCCCTACCCCAGAGGCTCTGCTAGAGCTCCTCTCCTGGGCACTGCGCAGCGCAAAGTCCTGCTGGTCCCTGAGGCGTCCATACCCACTTCGTTTACCTGGCTGTGCCCTCATAGAACAAATGATCCTAAACTTTTGCAAATGTGTACCTATTCCTGTAAGACTATAAACCTCAATTACAATGATGGTTATCTCTGGATGGTGACTTTACTAATGAGGTTAACTCCCAAAATTTCCTCCGAAAGTTTGCATCACTTGTTTAATCCAGAAAAAGGAAATTTGTGTTGAATAGCAAGTGAAAACATAATTTCCATTTCCTGTTGGTAGTTTAACACATAGGTTTCTAAACTTTTTACATAGTTTTTATGTATAATCTTTTATTTTGAAGTAATTTTAGATGTATAGAAGTGTTGCAAATATTAAAAAAAAGATTTTAAGCCCTGGCCAGTGTGGCTCAGTGGTTAGATTGCCGGTCCTTGGACTGACTGGTCCAGGGTTCCCTTCCGACCAAGGTCATGTACCTCGGTTGCAGGCTCAGCCCTGGTTGGGGCATGTGCTTGAGGCAACCAATTGTGTCTCTCTCACATTGATGTTTCCCTCTCTTCCACTCTCTCTGAAAAGCAATGGAAAAAATATCCTCGGGTGAGGATTTAAAAAAAAAAAAAAGATTTTAAAATTGATAAATTGGACTTCATAAAAATTTAAAACTCCTTTTGCTATTTAGCACATCAAGGAAGCAAAAAGACACCCCATGGAATGGTAGCGAGTACCTGCAAGTCATATATTTGATAAGGGCTCAGTATCTAGAATACATAAAGGAACTAACAACTTAATAGAAAAAAGACAAACTATTAAAAAGTGGGCAAAGGATTTGAATAGATTTTCTTCAAAGAAGATGTAGAAAATTGCGATTAGGCACATAAAACAAAAAAGGTCAACATCCTTAGTCACTAGGGAAATACAAATCAAAGCTACAGTGAGATACCACTTCACATCCTAACATGGCTACAATCAAAAGGACAGACAATAACAAATTTTGGTGAGGATGTGGAGACTTTGGAACCCTCACACTTTCACTGGTGGGAATGTAAAATGGTGCAGCTACTTTAGAAAACAGCTTGGCAGTTCCTTAAAAAGTTAAACACAATTTTCCGACCTAGCAATTCCATTCTTAGGTATATACACAAGAGAAATTAAAACATGTCCACACAGAAACTTAAACACACGTGTTTAAGCAGCATTCTTCATTCTAGCCAAAAAGGTAAAAACAACCTAAATGTTGACTGGATAAACAAAAATGTGATATATCCACACAATGGAATATTTTTGGCAATAAGAAGGAATGAAGTACTGATATTTGCTGCAACATGGATATACTGGGGTTGTCACGACAAAGTACCACAAACTGGGTGGCTTAACAGAAATTTATTGACTCAGTTTTGGGGGCTAGAAGTCTGAAATCAAGTTACTGACAGGGTTGGTTCCTTCTCAGGGCTGTGAGGGAAAATCTTTTCCAAGCCTCTCTTTTAGCTTCTGGCAGCCTCAAGCACTCCTTGGCTTGTCGATGGTGTTCTTCTTGTGTCTTGATATGGTCTTCATGCCTATCTCTGTGTCCAGATTTCCCCCTTTTAATAAGGACTCAATCATAATTGGATTAAGGCACCCCCTAATGACCTCATCTTACCTTGCTATCTGCAAAGACCTAGTTTTCAAATAAATTCACATTCACAGGTACTGGGGGTTAGTATTTCAAAATCTTTTGTGGGGGGACACAATTCAATATATAACAATGGATGAACCTTGAAAACATGCTAAATGAAAGAAGCCAGTAGCAAAATGCCAAATATATGATTCCATTCATATGAAATGTTCAGTATAGGCAACTCTAAAGACAGAAAGTAGTTTAGTGGTCACCTAGGGCTGAGGGAGTGGGGGAATAGGTGGTGATTTGCTAATTGGAAAATTATATATCTGTAAAGCTGTTTAAAATGTAACAACAACAACACACAGAATTCTTGTATACCCTTTACCCAGCTTCCCCCAACATTAGCATACTGCATAACTGTAATATAATTATCCAGAAAACTAGCATCTACACAATATTATTAACTATTTACAGATTTTATTCAAATCTTACTAATTGTCCATCTAAAGTCCTTTTTCTGGTTCAGGAGTGGACTTAGGATCCCATCATGCACTTGTTCATCCTGTCACTTTAACTTCTTGCCCTCTTAGATAATTCTTTAGTATTTCTTTGTCTTTGATGACCTTAACACTTTTGAAGAGTATTGGAAAGTTATTTTGTAGAATATGCCTCAGTTTGGGTTTTCTAATTGATGAGATTAAAGTTATCCATTTACAGAAGACTATTACAGAAGTGAGGTGCCCCTCTCAATGCTCGTATCACAGGGTACATGACATTATTAAGTATGACTGATTAAGTTTGATATCTTTGTTGACATATTTCAGATTTCTCCACTGTGAGTTTTTTAAAAAATATTTTTTTATTGATTTCAGAAAGAGGAAGGGAGAGGGATAGAAACACCAATGATGAGAGTCATTGATTGGCTGCCTCCTGCACGCCCCCTGCTGGGGATCGAGCCGGAAACCTGGGCTTGTGCTCTGACGGGAAATCCAACCTCCATCTCTTGGATCACAGATTGATGCTCAACCACGGAGCATCGCTGGCTGGGCCACTGTGAACTTTTTAAAAAGTTCATTTTAAATAAGTAGCTTGTGGGGAGAAACTTAAAAATTTTGTAAGAAGTTAGACCTAGTCTATGCAAAGTTGCAAATCTTTGAATAGACTCCAGAGTTCCATGTAGATGTTAGTTCTACCGAGCAGATTCTGCCAGTACAGCTGTCTAGGCAAGAAGACATATCCTGGAGCTTCCTACTCTGTCATCTCCCCAGAATCCTATAACTATTTTTATGTATTACTGAATTCCACTGATTAATGATGTTTCATGGAGGATTTTTGCTCCTGTGTTCATAAGAGATATTAATCTGCAGTTTCCTTTTTTTGGATGGTCTTTGTATGGTTTTGGTATCAGAGTAATACTGGCCTCATAAAATGAGTTGGGAAGCTTCTCTTTTTCTGTTTTCAGAAGATAGTATTAGAATTGGTTCTTTAAATGTTTGGTAGAATTACCAGTAAAGCCATCTGACCCACAGTTTTCTTTTTTGGCAGGTTTTTAATTTTATTACTAAGTCAGTGTCTTGTTATAAATCTATTCATATTTTCCATTTTTTCATTATTCAGTTATGGTTGATTGTGCATTTCCAGGAAATCTTTTTTGTTTTGTTTTGTTCAGTTAGGCCATCCAGCTAGTTGTTGCATAACCGTTCATACTATTCTCTCACATTTCTTTTAATTTCTGTAAATCAGTGGTAACATTCCCACTTTTATTTCTGATTTTAGTAATTAGAATCCTTTCTCATTATTTCTTTTTAATTTTATTTATTGATTTTAGAGAGTGTGAGAGACAGAGAGAGATAGACAGGTAGAGAGAGAAATCGAGTTGTTCCACTTACTGATGCATCATTGGTTGCTTCTCGTGTGTGCCCCGACCAAAGATCGAGCCCAAAACCTTGGCAGTTGGGACAATGCTCTCACTAACCGAGCTACCCAGCCAGGGCTCTCTCCTGTTTTCTTAGTGAGTTTAACAAAAGATTCGTTAATTTTGTTGGTATTTTAAAAGAACAAACTTTTATTTTAATTGCTTTTCTCTCTTATTTTTCTAGCCTTTCTTTGCTCTAGTGTGTAGTATTTCCTTCCTTTCACTTACTTTATGTTTGGTTTGCTCCTCATTTTTTTGTTCCTTAAGGCATAGAGTTAAGTTATTGACTTGAGATAATTCTTGTTATTTTTTTTTAATCTTCAATGGAGGTTATGTTTTTATTGCTATTAGAGAGAGAGGAAGAGAGAGAGAGAGGAACATGGGTGTGAGAACATGCCCCAAGTGAGGGACCAGCCTGCAACTCAGGTATGTGCCCTGACCAGGGAATCAAACCCATAACTTTTTGGTGTATGGATGAAGCTGCAACCGACTGAGCCACCCAGTCAGGGCTGTTTTTTTGTTTTGTTTTTTAATATATCATGCATATGAGTGAAATCACATGGTTCTCATCCTCTCAGACTTATTTCACTTAGCCTGATACTCTCAGGATCTATCCATATTGGCACAAATGGCAACATTGCATTGTTATTACGGCTAGTAGTAGATCCCATTGTACCACATATTTAGTCATCAGTGGAAGGGCACTTGGGCTGTGTCCATGAATAATGCTGCAGTGAACATGGGGGCACAGGTTATCTGATAAATGGTTTCAAATTCTGGGGTTGAGCCCCAAAAGAGGGATTGCTGGGTCATATGTGTTATCATAAGAAACATTCAAACCTGTGAAGAATTTTTTGTGAGTTTATTTGAGCCAAACTGTCAACAATTGCCAGGGAGCCAGATCTCAATAGATTGGGATAATGCTCCGGAGATGGCAGTTCTGCACCTTGCTTTATAGATTACAATCAAAGGGGAAGATGCAAGTGAGTTATATGAAATCCACTGGTGACAGATTAGGGATGTGGGAGAAAGCAAAGGGTGGGGAACCTCTGGGGTTGGGTAAAAAGTAAAGTGATAGACACACACTTCTTTTACATAAGTGGGTACAG